AGAATCCATACTCTATTCAGATTTCCTTTTTCTGTTGCAGGATCCCATCCAGGAACGCACAATTACGTTTAGTTGTCATGTCTCCTTAAGCTCTCTTGGCTGTGACAGTTTCTCAGACTGTTCTTGTTTTTGATGAACTTGAGAGTTTTGAGGAGTACTTTGTGGTGTCTAAATGTGGTGTCTCTCCGATCATGTGGGGGCCCCCAAATGTGGGGTGACGATTGGGTGGAAGCCAGTGGCATGGGCGGTAAAAGGATGCACCTGAGGCAGAACAAAGGAGACAGAAGTTTATTGAATACACTGCAAGGGAGCTGTGGGCAGGACGGCAGAGGAGAGACAGTCTGCAACGAGGCAGTGGGAGGGGGCTGTTTTTAAAGGTGGAGATGAGGAGGTAGGGCAGTGTATGGAATTCTCCCTTTTCTGGTAATTGCGCCTGGTTGTAAGTAGCCCATTGGTCAGTTAGGGCCTACGGATATCTTGAGGTGAGTCGCCTGATGGTCCTGTCTGTATTCAGCAAGGGGGTTGCTGTGGGCCCTTTCCACGTTCCATTGCTCAAGGCTGTTTGCCTAAAAGCTGCCTCTCCATACTTTTGTATGATATTTTGTAGGATGTCCCTCAATTGGGATTTGTCTGATGTTTTTCTCATGATTAGATTGGGATTATGGGTTTGGGGAGGTAGGCCATAGGTAAAATGCCATTCTCATCACATCATATCAAGAGTACACACCATCAACATCGTTGGTCACTACTGACATTGGCCTTGATCACCTGGCTGAGGTAGTGTTTGTCAGGTTTCTCTGCTGTAGAGTTACTCTCCCCTCACCCCCCCGCTTTTACATTCTGTCTATGGTATCTTTTGAAAATACATTATTTTTTAAGTTTTTTAAAATTATGTTATGTTAATCACCATACATTACATCATTAGTTTTTGATGTAGTGTTCAATGATTCATTGTTTGCGTATAACACCCAGTGCTCCATTCAATACGTGCCCTCTTTAATACCCATCACCAGGCTAACCCATCCCCCCCCCACCTCCCCTCTAGAACCCTCAGTTTGTTTCTTTTTTAAGTTTTGTGGTTTTTTTAGATTTTATTTATTTATTTGAGAGAGAGCACAAGCAGGGGGAGCAGCAGACAGAGAGAGAGGGAGAAGCAGGCTCCCCGCCGAGCAGAGAGGCCGATGCCAGGACCCCGAGATCATGACCTGAGCCAAAGTCAGACGCTTAACCGACTGAGCCACCCAGGTGCCCCTTTTTTAAAGTTTTTTCAATGTAAGTAGTCCCTACACCCATCGTGGGGCTCGAACTCATGATTCCAAGATCAAGAGTCGCACCCTCTTCCAACCGAGCCAGCAAGGCGCCCTTGAAAAGAAATTCTTAATTTTAATTGAGCGGCAGGGGCACGGCATGATCTTGTCCTCCACAGGGCTCCCTGATGGCTGATTGGCAGGAACCAAGCCATCTCAATGCTGCCTCTAGGGATCACTCAGAATTTACTGCTGGAATTCATGGGGCAGGGGGACAGAATTAGGGAAACAAACTGAATTGTGTATTCTTTCAAATCTTGTATCTGGACCTCTCCTTTTAAAACTCAAGAGCCAAGAATTTGACATCTTTGTTTCCTAGTTCTTCTCTGAGAATCCTCCCCACGGGGCAATGAACGACAGGAGTCTTGGCTATTTGGCCTGGGAGGAGAGGTGTGATAAAGGTGGAGGAGGAGGCTTCTTTTAGGCTAAATGTGGGTCATTACTTCATATATTATCCTGCCACACACATATCCACCTCTAAACGCTTCAGTGAAAAAGTTAACCACACGCACATCACCGATTGTTTACTGAGTGCTAAAGATTGAATCAGGAGGGCTACATATAGGAAGCAGAACTGCTGACGATTCCAAAATGTGACCTTGAGTACATATGCCCTTCCACAGGTTTCAATCTCTCAATCTATGAAACAAAGAGAAAGCTTCCTACAGTGTTTATCTTGCTGAATTCCAAGGCTATAAGGAACAGTGATGCCCCTTGGAGACCTCTGAGGAAAGGGGGGCTTTAGATTTAAAGGCTAAGATATTCACCCCTAGCTCAAAAAAGGCTGTTATTTCTCAAGACAAAGAGTATAAAAGAGACTTTGAGGTTTTCTTGCGGGGAGGGGAAAGAAGAGGGATTTTATGTTCCTGTCTATAATAGTTTTGGTCTTCTTCAAGTTAAAAGAAATAAGAATGTTCTAGAACTCTTTCAAGAATAGAAAAATTCACTCCATTTCCTGTTTCTTTAGGCTGGATGAAATGGCAGGAGTTCTGCTCCACTTTTAGTTGATTATGCCCCTAAATAAGGTTTATTTAGACAAACTCAGGTCCTTTGGTTTAGAATCTGTTTTAGGATATGCAGCAAGATGGACAAAGAATAAAATTTTAGTTGATGTAAAGAGAAATGACTCCATCATGGTTAAAAATGAATTTTTTAAAAATGATTAAATTCTTATTGATTTTTTTTTTTTCCAAGCCAGTCATTTCAGAGTTGATGCTTTGGAAATTAGCTACTTTAGACATTTTTGGTAATCTAATAATTTCACATTCCTAATGGAAAACTATCCCTTCTTCTTTCAGATTTGTTTAAAGTTACATTTGTACAGGGGCACCTGGCTGGCTCAGTCGGAAGAGCATGCGACTCTTGATCTTGGGGTCGTGAGTTCGAGCCCCACATTGGGTGTAGAGATTACTTAAATAAATAAAAACTTTAAAAAAAGTCATATTTGTGCAAATCCTCCTCTGAAAGAATGCAAATTTGAGTCAAGAGTTTCCTGAAGTTGAATGAGGAGATCCAGATTCCATTCCATAAATTGAGAGTGGCTTTGGTAAGCATAGTGGGTTCTAGAAAGTTCAAAACTGAGTATTTGGGGAGTGTTCTGATTCCTGTTTTGAGTTGGGCAAGTTTTTCCTGGTGTAGGTCTGCTACCTGAGAAACTCCTGGGATCACCGCTTTCAAGCCATCTCCTATTTTCTCCTTCAGTTAATCCCAAGAAGAAAACAGAGATCGGAAACTGTGTAAGCAGTAGGGCATTTTCCCCCCAACAAGTCTGTCTTGGCATTTGTGCACTTTACAAAGCTCAGACACCTTCATTGGCTCCCCATTTCCTGTCAGTTGATGTGTAGTTCTTTTATTTAACATTTAACATTCTCAATAAACATGTCCCTAATTGAAAATTTTAGCCCTATGTGCCCCTCCCCCATATAATCTCCTCTTTGGTTAAATTTAACAGTTAATGCTCAACCTGACAGGATTTCTCCATGCTGCACCGTGCAGTTTTTGCTACCTGCCAGAACCACCCCCTCTCCTGTACTTGCATATTGAAACCACAAACATCTTTCAAGGTCATGGGCCGGGGCATCGTTTTCTGATCTTGGATGCTACACAGTGTCACTTCTTGCTTAATATCATAGGCAAAAAACTTGTGACTGATGTGGGAGACAATGGCAGAAGGAAATGTAGATAAAATTAAAGGTCCTTATAACCTGCAGCCCACTGACAAATACTTGAGGCAGGCTAAGTATAAAGGAAGCTCCCTTCTATCTTAATGTTGATGCCTTGCTAGAGGGAAAAACTACCTTAGCTTGACAATAGCAAGGCCTCCACGATCTCTTGAGCCTTCTTTAGCGTATGAAAATCCTTTTGGGAATTTCCCTTCTCTTTACCTCCCTCAACTCCATAGTATATAATCAGTCGCTCCTCACAATCCCAGGGCAGCAGCTCTTTCTGCACTCGGGTCCTATTCCCCTGCTTTAATAAAACCACCTTTTTGCACCCAAGTCTCAAGAATTCTTTCTTGGCCCAAGGCTCTGGACCCCAACAACGCTACTCCAAAAAACACATGAGGAGCACTGGTTATTGTATGTAAATGATGAATCACTGAATCCTACTCCAGAAACCAATGTTGCACTGTAAGTTAACTAAAATTTAAATATAAGAAAATATATCATAGGCAAAAAAACTTAAAAGTCGGAAGAGAGGATCCTGGTCTAATTAGTAGGTCTAGCCCTCACGTAACACTGAGCAAATGGATGAAGGAAGTAATTAATGTTCTTGTCCCGTCACTCCTGGTGGAGAGGAGAGTCTTAGGAGATAGGGTTGCCAGATTTAGCAAATCAAGATATAGGACGCCCAGTCATATGTGAATTTCAGGTAAACCACGAATACCTTTTTTTTTAAAGTATAAGCATGTCCCATGAAATATTCACGACATATTTATACTAAAAAGTATTCATGGTTCATCTGAAATTCAAATTTAACTAGGCGTCTTGTGTTTTATCTGGCACTGCTGCTTGGAGGGCAGGGACTCCCGGAGGCGCCTGGCTTCCACCCAGCAGGTGCTCAGCATCTGTGCAATTGTTAGAACGAATTCCAAACCAGCCCCGCAGCTTCCACAGCTGCACCCGTAGCGGGGCGGAGCCAAGCCACCGGGAAAGACACAGACACCCCAGTGGGAGACCATCACTGGAGATTGGCCAAGGGGTCCGCACCTGGGAGGCAGCCCCACCCCGTGGGTACTCAGGATCCTTCCACAAGCTCCGTCATCCCCCACACCCCGACACCCGGCCCTACGCTCCACCTTGTGACTGGTGGTCACGGGCCGGGGGGCGGAGCTGCCCGGCTCTCCAGTCGCTGCCTACCATTGGCAGAGCCTTCCATCCATCACGTTAGGCTCCGCCCACGAGGCTGACGTTCCCCAGCCTACGTCTCTCCCGTAGGCCGCGACGTAGCTGGCGATTGGTGGAGAAGGCGGCAGCCGTCCCAGCGGAGGCGACGACGGGGCGGTCTCCGGCAGTCGGGACGAGCCGGAGCACGTCACCCCCTACGGCTGCGGTGGTCGCTCGCGTTCCGCCGTCCCGGTCCGTGCCGCCCTTTGCTGTTGCGGCCACCGCGGGACCATGGCAGCGCTCGTGGTGCTCCTGTCCTTGTTGGCGGCGGGTGAGGGCGGGGCGGCCGGGGCGCGCTCGGGGTGGCCGGGAGCCTCGGGGGGTTGGAGGCGGCCGCAGGTGGGCGGCAGCGGGGCGAGTGCCGCAGTGCGGGCAACCGGCGGCGGCCTCGCCCCAGCCGCCTTCCTCTCGGCCTTCTCGTCGGACCGACCTGTGGCGGCAGGCCTGGCGGGCTGCCGGGGCGGGGTCGGGCTGCGTGGGGGCACCTGAGCCGGCCTCCACCCTCCGCCTCTTCCAGGAAGGCGCGGCCGCGGGTTCCGCCGCCGGTCTCTTCCGGCTCCGGAGGCACGGGGGTGCATTTCCCAATTAACTGGGAACCGCAGCCCTGCGCGAGAAAGGGAAGGCAGACTTCTCTGAGCTGCCATCAGATGCTGCGTTTCCTTGCATTTTTCTGGTGTCTTCCTTTCTAGCGGTTGTCATCAGTATTTGGTGACGTCTCCTCCCTTATGTGTTTCAGAATACAAAAGTTGGAGATGGGGTAATTGTTTTTGTAGGATTCTTTCTAAAGGCAAATTCAGCGTACCTCTGAGTAGTTTGTCAAGGTTCTCCATTTTAAGGATTTGGAAACTAAGATGTGAGTCACGTTCTTAGGGTCACATGTTAAGTAAATGGTAGCTTTCAGAGTGGAACCTAGGTTCCCTAGTGTTCAGCAAGTCCGCTAATATTTGGCCTCTTACTGTGTATCATTTAATTTTACAGTAGTCCTTAGAAGAGGACATCATCCTCGATTTACAGGGTGATCAAGCTTAAATAAATTATCCAACAACACGCAGGTAGTAAGCAGCAAAGCTGGAATTGAACCCGGATCAGCTGGCTCCAAAGCATGGGTCTTTCCGTTATGTGTATTGTGGCACAGGTGATGGAATGCGCCTGCGTGGGAATGATGGGGGCCTGGATTGGAGGCTCAGACAGTGGCGAACAAGAGGCCAAGTTGAGAACTTGGAGAAACGGGGCTGTCTGTTTAAAACCTATAGCTTAAAAATGTGTGTGAGGGGTTGGGATGACCTGACCCACTTTTGGAATGGTGGTTTAATTCTGCATGAGTGTATGTAGACCACTGACGTTCTTGAAATCTGCAGGTCTCCTCCATCCCTGGAGGTGTGCTCAGAGTTGTGTGTTGATGGTAATTACACTTATTTTCACATCCCCAAGGTTTTAAGGTTTTGTTCTTTCATTTCTGCTGCTGGCTCCAGAAGGGTCATCCTGATCCATCTAGTAAGTTATTTTGAGGGGTGTTTTTTTTTTATTTTAAATTCAGTGTTTGAAATTTAAAAATCTTCCCTTTGATACTGTGATTTAACTGAATATCTGTTGAAATTCCATCTTTTAATGTTGACTGATACTGTTTTGATTCAGTGAGGTTTAGGGGCTGTTTGTTTTGGTCTGAGGCAAAGTAATTGCTTCTGTACACAGTTTGAACATGCTTTCCTAACTAGAATAGTCTAGTTCATGCAGGCTTGGAATCTGATCTTCTCAGTTTCTAGGGTGCTTGGTCTTGTCACATGAGGTTAAATTACTGTTTTCCATAGTGACTAAGTTTAATTTAGTGGAAAACATCTCTAACCGATTGGACTTCTCTATTTGAGGAAATAAATAAGTCCTTTAAACTGGTGTTAACTAAAGCCGAGAGAGAACTAGAGGAAGGGAACTAGGGTTATGAATACCATGTCATGAGTATTTGAAAAAAATTCAGATGTTTACCCTGGAGAGGAAAGGCCAAGGGCAAACATGTGGAATTTGACAGAGTGTCATGTGGAAGAGGGATTTGATGTGGTGATGTCCCAGAAGTCAAAAGTAGGACCTATTTATTTTTTCCCTTATTGATTCCATCCACCGTTCATGGATCACAGCATAGTACGGTGGGAGTTCCCAAAGGGAGGGATACTTACCCCCTAGCCCAGAATGGGGAGGCGGAGGGAAAATTCCCTGGGGGAAGATGCCTCATGGGCAAATATATGAAAAAGTTTGGGATGGGGGGGAAGTTTAGACAGAATGGCCTGTGTAAGAGCACAGAGATGTGAGAGCAAAAGAGCCAATAGTTCAGTGGGGCTAGAATGTATAAAGGTTAAGTTGGGGAGCTCCCAGAAGTAAGGTTGGTGAGGTTCCTTGGGTGTTATGTTTTGGGTTCTGTCTCAAAAGCTCAGGGCAGCGAGTGAAGGTGGTTAAGCTGATGGGTGAATGAACATACCTGTATTTTGAAAAGGTGCTAGAAAGGCTGGCTCAGAGAGGTGTGACAGGTCGTAAGGTGACCCAGTTCTAACAAGCCTGGAAAGGGACTGGGAGTGTGCACTGGACCTGGAGGGGAAAGGATTTGTGAGATAAGAAGGAAAAAAAAAAAAATGGGCAGAATTCCGTGGTTGATTGGCTGTGGTGCTGAGGAAAGATTTAAAGATGACCAGTGTGAGCCGCTGCCTGAAGGGTGGGGTCATCCTTGGAGATAGAGAACGCAGAAGGAGCATGTGGAAAGATGGTCAGTTCAGTTCGGAACCTGTTGAGTTTGAAGGACCCATGGGACTTAGAAGGAAATGCTTAGCAGGCTGTTGGATATGTAGGTCTAAGGCTCAAGGGAAATCTAGGCTGGCAATAAAAATATGGGAGCCATCAGTGTTTTTGGTGTTTGCAGCCTGAGGAGTAGATAGGCTCAGCCAGGGAGAGGGATATAGGATAGGAAAGCAGTGAGGGTCAAGAATGGAGCCCTCAGATCTCAAAAGTGGAGTATGCTAGGTGATCTCTTGGGATGCCAGAAGAAGGTACTAGAACTTCCATCTATAGCTTTTTTTAATCTTTTTTTTTTTTTTTTTAGTAGTAACGATCAGATATTTTGTAGAATGTCCATCAATTTGGGTTTATCTGATGTTTTCTCATGATTAAATTGGGAAGAATACTACACAAGTATCTCATCCTTTTTTAAAAATTTGTTTTTGTGTGCTTTGAAATATATTATGAAGGTACAGTCTATTCTACAAGTGTGTACTTTATAAATAAATTATCTATATTGGGGCTGTTTTCAAATTTTGTACCCAAAGCGTTGAAATCTAAGAAGTTTGGACCTCTCTGCATTAAAGGATGGAAGGGAAAGAAACGGAAAACTGCCAGAGGGACTGGGGAGAAACAAAAACAAAAACCAGGGGCCCGGGTTTCACCAGGGCTAAGGGCGGAGACTTTTAAGGAGGGAGTTGCCCAGGATCAGGTGCTTTGAGCAGTTAGATAAATTAAGGGCTGAGAATTGTCTTTTGGATTTGGTGAGGCATTTCGGTGGCACGGTAGAGTTGGGAGCGATGGGTTGGGTGGTAATCTGAGATGAAGAAGTAGAGAAGCTAAGGGTCGTTGGCTGCTCTTCCAGGATCCTTCCTCTGAAGGGAAGCCGAGGCTGGTAGGACCAAAGCAGGGGTTTTGTGATCGTCATTTTAGAATGGGAGCACCCAGAGTGTATTTTTAGGAAATGAAAGAGCCATTTGGAAAGGGGAAGTTGGTAGCATGAGGCGTGGCTTCATTCATGAACTCAGCAACTTTTTTTTTTTTTTTTTTTTAAGGATTTTATTCATTTGACAGAGAGAGACACAGCGAGAGAGGGAACACAAGCAGGGGGAGTGGGAGAGGGAGAAGCAGGCTCCCCGCAGATCAGGGAGCCCGATGCGGGGCTCGATCCCAGGACCCTGGGACCATGACCTGAGCCGAAGGCAGACACTTAACTGACTGAGCCACCCAGGCGCCCCTCAGCAACTATTTCTTGAGCGCTCATGTGTCAGGCACTGTTCTCAGCTCCTGGGGATATTGTGTGAACAAGACAAACTGAAATCCCTGCCCTCGTGGAGCTTCTATTCTACAGGGCTAGCTTTTATACAACCGCATAGCCACCTAGCTCCTGATCCTTGTCTTCCCGGAGTAGCAGCGTGTAATAAACACTGAATGACTAATAGGTGAGTGAATGAAGGCCCCTAAGAAGGCTGAATGCGGGGATGCTGTTAGACTGGAGGAGGGACGGCCCTGCCAGCATCTGGAGGGAGAGGAGAGAAGGCCAGGGGCTGGTGCAGATAAATTTGTGGTGGGGAGAGGAAGCAGGCAGTGGGCGGGATTCCTGTGCTCTCTTTCGAAGCTGGAGGTGAGGTTATTTGGTAAGTCTGAGGCAGGGGTGATAAAAGAAGTTGCAAGAAGTCGGGAAGCTCATTTCAGTTGAGTACTGCAGTGGCCTTTCCGGGGGCTTGCAATGTGGGGATGGCGGAGATGGCTGCTGGCCGGCGTCGGGTTTGTAAGTTGAGGCAGCGTCTCCCTTGACTGGTTGTATTGTGGTAGGGAATGGGTGACTTCCTGTCAGGTCTCTAGGGGAAACCTGGCTTAAGCAGCAGTGTCTCAGTCTAGGAGGCCCCAGCAGTAAGGTTTTCTAAAGCCCGAGGCTCCCGCGGGACTGTGGTGCAGGCACCGAAGTGGGCATTCTACCTACGGTGTTGGGGCAGAGTAATTCAGCAGAGCTCTCCTTGCTGGGATTGAGTGACTAGGGCCTTGCTGCAAAACAGGACTATCTCCAGATCCAAATATGGTTCTTTAAATTAGTGTATGGTACTTGGAAAGTGTAGGACTGTTGCTGCCCCATTTTCCTTAGCGTTTGCAATAACCACTACTGTAGTGAACCAAGATGTCTATCAGTTACAGACAGCCTTCCGTTCCGCTAATTTTTTTTTTTTTTTTTTTGCCTGCCTTCGGCTAGAACATTTTGGAAATTCCTGCTCTGGCAGCTGCGCTGAATTGAAACTCATAACTCTTCATGTTGTATCAGCACCATCCTGAGGCCTTTTATTTACTGTCAATACTGCAACACCAAAACATCTATTGTTGCTTCTAACTTTATTCCCATACCCTGTAAGTGGTACTTTCCTTAGGTCAAGAGAATAACAGTGATGCTTTATTAAATAAAGTCTAATTTTCCCATACTGGGTAAGCATGGCCAAGATTTGTTTTGGACTCAGAGCTGATCTTTTCGTAGGAATCTGAAAGTTTCCATAAGTTACTTGTCTTTGTGCGAGCTAGACATCATTGGGTTTACACAAAATGGCTGAAGAGGCCAGATACCTCATCCTTGGAGGGTTTATCAAATAGGCCCTTTATTCTCATCCTTGGTGTGTTAATCTCAGCCTCCCTACCTCTAGACTTGTTGGCTTTATTATTACAGAATACCTGTTCTCAGCCTCTTGATACACCCATTGGATTCTAGGCTACTTGGCTTCTAGAGTCTGCAATATTTATATTCTGACTAGTAACATGCCCGCCCCTTGCCTTTCACAGTCCTCATTTCACTGGGTTTGCTTATGGGATGTAAAGAAAGATCTCCTCTATCCTAAGATTTACTAACTTGCTCAAGTTTTAGAGTGAAATACTAGGAGTTTTATGAATTTGCATTTTGAAGAGAGGGTCGATGGCAGAAATAATTTAGAGATTTCAGGTTTCTTCGTTTTAGTCTGTGCCAGGGGTTTGTTTGCTAGCGATTGATTGATTGATTGATACGATTTTATTTATTTGAGAGAGAAGCAGACTCCCGCTGAGCAGAGAAACTGACACGGGGCTCAATCCCAGGACCCTGAGATAATGACCTGAGCCGAAGGCAGACACTTAACTGACTGAGCCACCCAGGGGCCCCTATTTATTTATTTTTTAAAGTTTTATTTATTTAAGTAATCTCTACACCCAACATGGGGCTCAAAGCCACGACCTCAAGATCAAGAGTTTCATGCTCCTCCGACTGAGCCAGCCAAGTGCCCCTCATTTGCTTTTTAAATTCTGGAGAAATGCCATTGATTTCTAATTCTTGCCGATTTGGCAGATGCCCCTGTTTTTTTTGTTGTTGTTGTTTAAGATTTCATTTATTCATTTGAGACACACAGATGCAGAGAGAGAGAGAGCATGAGCAGGGAGAGAGGCAGAGGGAGAGGAAGAAGCAGACTCCCCCTGAGTCAGGAGCCCAATGTGGGGCTCGATCCCAGGACCCTGGAATCATGACCTGAGCTGAAGGCAGACGCTTAACCATCTGAGCCACCCAGGCGACCCCAAATGCCTCTTGTTTTAAGGGCCACCTGTAGGAAGGCATCTTGATTGTTAGGAGAATCCTGTTTCATCACTGTGCCTCTGTTAGCAGAATGTATGGACTTTGGTTCGTAGAGCAGTACTTTGAAAAAGAATTTGTTGATGTTTGGGATTCAGCATTTTGTCCAATAATATGTAGTATGCTGAGTCAGTGGAGAATGGGGAAACGTTTTATATTTAATAATTTTCTACACGGGTGCAAAAGATTTATGATGTTGATCATTTATTAATCTGTTTTCTTCCAGGTGTTTTGGGGAACGAGTTTAGTATATTAAGATCACCAGCGTCTGTTGTTTTCCGAGATGGAAATTGGCCTATACCAGGAGAGCGAATCCCAGACGTGGCTGCGTTGTCCATGGGCTTCTCTGTTAAAGAAGTAGGTGTATTTTTTTTTTTTTTAAGATTTTATTTATTTGACAGACACAGCGAGAGAGGGAACACAAGCAGGGGGAGAGGGAGAAAACAGGCTTCCTGCCAAGCAGGGAGCCCAATGTGGGGCTTGATCCCAGAACCCTGGGATCATGACCTGAGCCGAAGGCAGGCGCTTAACGACTGAGCCACCCAGGCGCCCCAAGAAGTATGTGTATTTTTAAAAAGATACTGGGAGCTACTTCTGAAAGTATTTTTGATTTTTCTGCTAATGGCCCAAGAAAGCAAGAAGCAGACATAGGTATATTTGGTACAGATTACAAAAGTGAAAAAGCTCATTTGTAGTCGGGGAGATTTGGAGACATGCTACAGTCTTGGCTTATGAAACCAAATCATCATAAATCATTAACCATGTAATCATTCATAGTAGTGCTGTTCTTTGTATATGAGAACGCATCTGTCCTATTAATAGGATGTATAGTTTTACTTTTTTTTTTTTTTTTTTTTTTTCCAGTACACAATGGCTGTATGTCTTAGTTTGGGTTGCTGTTACAAAATACCATAGCCTGGATGGCTTATAAACAACAGAAATTTATTTCTCACAGTTTTGAGGGCGAGAAGTCCAAGATCAGAGTGCCAGCCCGGTCGGATTCTTAGAGAGGGCCCTCTTCCAGTTTGCAGATTGCGGACTTCTTTTCATGTCCTCACATGGTGGGGAGAGGGTAGGAACTCTCTGGGGTCCCCTTTTTTTTTAAGATTTTATTTATTTGGGGGCGCCTGGGTGGCTCAGTCGTTGAGCATCTGCCTTCGGCTCAGGTCGTGATCCCAGGGTCCTGGGATTGAGCCCCGCATCTGGCTCCCTGCTCCGCGGGAGGCCTGCTTCTCCCTCTCCCGCTCCCCCTGCTTGTGTTCCCTCTCTCACTGTCTCTGCCAAATAAATAAAATCCTTTTTTTTTTTTTTAAGATTTTTAAATTTTTATTTATTTGACAGAGACACAGCGAGGGAGGGAACACAAGCAGGGGGAGTAGGAGAGGGAGAAGCAGGCTACCCGCCGAGCAGGGAGCCCGATGTGGGACTCGATCCCAGGACCCTGGGATCACGACCTGAGCTGAAGGCAGACGCTCAACGACTGAGCCACCCAGGCGCCCCTGGGGTCCCTTTTTATAAGGCACTAACCCCACTGTGAGGGCTCTATCCTCATGACTTCATCACCTCCCTAAGGCCCGCCCCTAATAGTGTCACATTGGGGGATAGCTTTCAATGTGAATTTTGGGGGGGGGGGGGGGACACACGTTCAGTCTATTGCAATTTATTATGAATGATAAAACGTGCATGCATCTTGCCTGAGTCTGAGAATATAGTGCAGTCAGCAGCTGTGGGAATGAAGCCATAAGCTGTTGAGTAACTAGCTGCTTCTGTGATGTATTGGAGGGGGTGTAGATCCTGTCAGGACGAGGGGTCTGCAGTGAAAGGCATGGAGAGAGGGGATGCAGTCTGCCGTCTTGCTATCATTAGCTCTTGGCACTTAATAAGTTTTGTGCTTTTGACATGGTCTCTAGATAATCACCAGTCACTCAAAGGAACTTTCCTCCCAGGTCCTGAGTGCCCTTGAAACCAGAAGCAGTGCGAGGGAGCTCCCTCTCTGCGGGGCCTGTGGCTGGAGCCCCTGAGCTCCCTGTGGGAACATGAGTGGTTGCTTACATTTAAGGATGAAATTTGTACCTCCTCCTTCACAGACTTAAATTTGACTACGAGTGGCTGTCACAGTAACCCTGAGAAATAATTATTAGTAAATTAATGTGAGCTACTTTGAGCAGGAATTTTATTTATGACAAGCTTAGTCTAAAGAGAAGACTTCTAACGGCAGTTCTGCTGTGTCCTTACGAAAGACAAAAGCCACGCCGTCCACAAGGGCAGGTGATGGTGAGGAAGAGTTTGTAATCTGAGATTTGAAAAGGACCTACATTTTGTTTCCTTGTCTGCTTTCTTCCACAAAAGGTTTGAGAGGACTTACTAGTAAGACTTTGTTGTTGTAGATCTGTGGAAGTTTAAGAACACAAAGGAGGTCGAAATCCCTGTCCCTGGTTAGGAGTTTGCAACTGCTGCCTTCAATGAAACGTTTGCTCCCCCTGGAAATTAATGAGCTAAAGAAACCAGAAGAATTTCAGAATAAATGGAAGAAAAGAAACAACAAAAATCAAAAGGCAGATTTAAAAAATAATCTTAGTAATAGTATTAAGAATGTAATTTCTGTGAAAATCATTGTTGAAGATCCCTTTAAAATAAATATATAAATGGAATTTTCATTGTTTGTGTCGTCCTGGAACCCCTTGACTCTGCTTAGTACACGTTATTGGGGCAGGGGTTTCTGGAGCGGATAATTAAGCACCATCTCATGCTTTCCGGTGTTTAGGACCTTTCTTGGCCAGGACTTGCGGTGGGTAACCTGTTCCATCGTCCTCGGGCTACCGTTATGGTGATGGTGAAGGGAGTAGACAAACTCGCTCTACCCCCAGGCAGTGTCATTTCGTACCCTTTGGAGAATGTGAGTATTATAAAAAATTAAAGGCATGCATTTTTAATCTTGTCTGCTGTCGTTATGAATTGTGTTCTAAACACCTTTCTCTTGTCTACATTTTCTTGTCCATTATCTTGTCACCTTCCCGTCCAAATTTTACCTGCTACTTGGTGTAAGTAGGAGACTGGAGGCTATTTTGCCGGTTCACTTATGCCTTCACTGGCTTTTCAGGCAGTATGGCTGGCTGAGCTGTCTTGAGAGGCCCTCCGTCCGCTGCCAGCAGGGAAGTCCCCAGAACATCATGTAGCTGAACTTGCGGGCAAGGCAGGGATACACAGAGCTGCCAGATGGGAACAGACAGCTCAAGAGCCACAGCGGTGAGCCGGAGCTCCGTGTTTCTTGCAGAAAGCCAGGGGCTATGAAATGATAGCTTGTTCTCGAAAGGAGGACCAGGAAAACCCCAGCTGCCCCAGGGCTGCCACAGAGCAGCTGGCTTACCTCTCTTGGCGGGGGAACCCAAAGGGTTCCCTAAGAGAAATTGGAATTCCAGGCTCCTGGCGTGCCCAATTCACACGACCCACCCCATTTGGACACCTCCACTGCCCAGGGCTGCTTTGGTTTAAAAAAAAAAAAAAAAAAATCGAAGATGAGTAATTTACAAAGCACTTGCAAGAAAGGAGTGCCGTGACAGAATGCGCAGGTGCAACAAACCGAATCCATCCCCTTAGAACTACAGATAATAGACCAATCTCCAGGAGATGTGAAAATACATACGTTACAATTGTGAAAGGAGTTCAAGGAAGGGATAGAAACTGTGAGGCAGGTAGAAGACCTTTTTGATATGTGGTGCGTTCATTAATACGTCTAAATATTTCATAATTTATCTTGTGATTTCTTTAACCCATGAGTTATTTAGAAGTGTTTAACGTGTGGGTTCTTTTCAAATTTTTAATTTTTCAGCTTCTAATTTCATGGCACTTGAAGACTAGTCTGTATGATGATTTGGGGGGAGTTTTTCAGACTTCTGTGGTCTAGTATAAATTATTTCCAGGCACACACAACATGGTTACAAGAGGCCATGTACTAGGCCACAAGGCAAATCTCAACAAATAATGAAGAATTAGTATCAAATAAACCACCGTCTCTGACCACAATGCAGTTAAATCTGAAAACGATACCTTAAAAATGTACTTGGAAGGGTGGGGAGGATGGAGGGGAAATAGGTGCAGGGTAGGAAGAGGTACGAACTTCCAGTTATAAACGTTACCGCACAGGGAGTACACGCTGTGACGTCGCCTAACTTAGTGACAGATGGAAACATTTATACACATTAGTCCTTTCCTAATGTGTATAAATGTTGGGTCACCGGGTTGTACTCCTGCAAACTAATACAATATTGCATGTCAACTATACTTAGGTAAAAAGTAAAGAAAAATGTATTTGGAAACGGTAAAAACAAAATAGATGACTCCTCAGGTTTAAAGCGCACTGGAAATCTTAAAAGCTATCAAAAAAAGACATTGTCTTTACAAAGGAATGAGAGTAGAAAGCAGATTTCTCATTGCCATTAGGGACTAGAAGAGCAAGAACTGAAAAGGAGGGATTGTCTAGTATAATGCCAGGCCAAGAATACAGTTTACATTGTCATAATAATGAAATGATATGGATCCAATGAAAATCAGGACTCTTGAGAAGGTGAAGACCTAGAAACGGAGTGCCTTATGGGGGGGGCTGTGGTTGGTGACGTGAGAGAGCTAAATCGTCATTTTCTATACTCAGCAGTAAATCTCTAAAATGGAAGAATCAAGATGTGATATAAACATATTTAGAGATGGTGGCAAAAGGAAACAGGTTTTGAAAGTGGGGTCCTTGGGAATGGGAAATGGGGGCAAACTTTTTTCTTTAAACTTATTTTTCATAGAAAGTCTGATAGAACTCTGCATGTCTTTAAACTGTATAATCTTTTTTTTCTATATAACTTTTGAAAAAATTTTTGATCTTAGCATGTGAGCTGGGGAGAAAGGGTAGAGGCTAAGGGAAAGGGGGAGAAGTGGACTCCCCACTGAGTGTGGGACCCTGCACCACCCCCCACGGCTTGTTCTCCAGAACCGGAGATCATGACCTGAGCTGAAATCAAGAGTTGGATGCTTAACTGACTGAGCCACCCAGGTGCCCCATCTCTTGGAAAAAATCAACAGTTGGAATAGATGGACTACCAAATTCATGAGTTGAGAAAATCACAGTGGAAGTTTTGAAATTATTTGGAACTGAATATCAGTGAATGTACCAGATATTTAAAAGTGGTGGGGTGCAGCTAAAGGAAGAAAAGGAAAAAATTGATAGCTTAAATG